TTAATTCTATCTTTTTCAATTTTAACATAATTATCTACAAGCTATTGCTGAAATAATCGTCTTCCCAAAATAAAAATATTAAAATTATCACGTATAGCTATTCGATGTTTCACGTAAGCAGCTCTACTAACTCGTTTATTACTATTATTACATCGTAAATTACCATGACAACCTTGATTACCATATGAATAATACAATGGATAAATCCATGGTTCTACATTTGGATCCGTACTGACTTGTTGTAACGTCTTGTTGCTTTTATTATAAATTGTAACATATGCTTCTGGAATTTCTCCATCTGCAGTAGTAGAAAAAACAGCTGCTACTTCATTCACTTTTTGTATGTTATATCGACCACGATCAACACCTTTTTTAGTTAAAAATCCTAATTGTAATTCACGTATATTATGATTTTCTGTTTGCTGTGCTTGAATTTCTTCGTGTATCATTCGATATGATTAAGCGAAAATTATTTGTACGTATTATATTATCTATTAAACGTAAGATTTCTTCATCAAGATTCGAGTTTTGATGTAATCGACATTCTATTGCTTCATTATTATCTACAATGAAAAGTTGACCGTAACTTGGCATTTCGTTAGGTGTAGGATATAAAGCGGTATTAATTTGATAATAAATCTGTCCTTGAATTTTGAAACAATAAGATCCACGTCTTTGCGCACTGAAATCTGATATTTTTGCATTAAAGGACGCGGAAGAAAATGTATTGTTGTAACCACGAATACGATTATAAAAATGATTTGGTTTTGAATGATTTCCCATAAATAACTCATACAATTCATGCGGAGGTTGTGGTAAAGGATCTAATTCAACAGACCCATGACTGCAGCAATCATAAAATGAATTTCCTTCATTAGCTACTTTTTCAGATTTAAAATGTTTTGCACCACAATGTTCGCAATGTATATTCATTTATCCTATTTAATGTTCTACGATATGTTGTAATTGAACAACATAAGCCATATTAATATCTGTGTATCCTTTTTCTGAAGCTCGGTTTTTTTCATACCACTTTATTTGTTTATTTTTATCAATTACATTAATATACGTTGATTTCAAGCTTACTGCTTTATCATTTGTTAAAATATTTTGAGTTGATTCTCCACTCTAAAATTGATAGAATTTTCAAACTTATTATTATCTAAATTTATTAATCTATTTGATGTGCTAGGTATAGAGGAAATATTGTTATTACTTAAAGGAACTTCCACATTAGAATTATGGGCATTATCAATTATTGAAATGTCATCATTAACATTAACTAATGTTACATTATTATTTAGACCAGTAACCACGTTATTATCTTTTATTATAGAAACATTTGTAATGGTTGGTGTATTATCCGTTTCTAGTGCAATAGTATAATAATTGTTTCATTTATTTGATATACTGTTTTCATAGATAATGAAGAAATCTGAGTCAGTTATTGTTTCTGAAAAATTTGTAAGAGTTTGCGGTAAATTTGAAGAAATATCAATAATATTTGGCGAAGATTGACAATTTGCATTTGTCATTATTCGTTCTCTTTTTCGTTTTTCAGCTTGCCATTTTGCCTTTCTTTCTCGTTTAATACGTTGAAATTCTTCCTCTTCTTCAACTGTTCGAATTAATTTTCTTCGATGCATAATTTCAAAACAAATAATATCCCATGTACGATTTTAAAACTGGGCCAATATCGGGCCAATGTCGGCTGTCAACTTCCGACTGTCGGCCCGGTACTGACTGTAACGTCACGCCGACGTCGGCATAATATCCAAATGATAAGATCGGCCCAATATTAACGCCAGTGTCGGGCCGATATTGGTCACCGACGTCGGGCCGACATTGGTCACCGACGTCGGGCCGACATTGGTCACCGACGTCGACCAACAATAAATTTCAGTGTTGGGTAGACATTGGTCACTGAAATCGTCCCAACGTTAGATGCCGATGTCGAGCCGATGTCGATAAAATATCCAAATGATAAGATCGGCCCAACGTTAAAAGCCAGTGTCGAGCCGATACTGATCACCGACGTCGGTCCAACGTCGGATACCAATGTCGAGCCGACACTAGTTCAATATTTATATTAAAAAAATCATTTTTTAAATATAGATATTTAATACACAAGATGTCTGAAAATGTATGATAAAGATTCTTTTGTCTTACCTGAAATTTGATATTTAAATTAATTTCGAAAAACACACTTACCTTGAGAGATTCGAACCTAGGATCTCTGGATC